GGGTGTCCCGGTGGGGCAGGGTGGGGGGCACAGAGCCCGGGTGGGAACCAGGGTGACCACTGTCCCCTTGCAGACCCCCGTGGATGAGAAGGAGGCTCAGTCCGTGCCCAACATCGAGTACCTGCTCCCCAACATCGGCAGGACCGCGGCGCCCGGCGATGCCGCAGGTGAGGAGCAGCATCCGCGGCACCGGTCCCCCCGGTCCTGGAACCCAGGACACCCCAAGGCCCCTCTCCACTGCTGTGTCCCCCCATGCTCGCAGCCCCGCGGGCAGCCAGCCCGTCTCACCATAGCCATGGCAAACCCGGGTGTGCTGGCACGGGACATCCCGGTGCCTTCCCCACTGGAAAGTGGGGACATCCCCCCCCCCGTCCCCCCAGTGCCTGCAGGGCCACCTCCCTGTCCTTTCCCATCACCCTTCTCTCCGGTGGCTGCTCCCCATCCCTCTCAAAGCCGGCAGCCCACGGGACCCCTGCTCTGGCCCATGCTGCCAAACCCAGAGCCTGGGAGTCTTTGATGTTCGACTGATTTCTTATGTTCTTTCCTTGAACTTCTCTGTGCTGTCCTCTTCCTCCTCCTCTTCCTCCTCCTCCTCCTCCTCTTCCTCCTCCAGCGGACCTCCTCGAGAGCTAGAGCGGGTACAGTTTGATTCTGGGTGCATTGCTCACGCACTAACTGCTCGGGGTGACCATGAGAGAGTGCGAGCAGGGAGGGGAGAGGGTCCTGTCCTGCCTGCCCGCTGTCCCCAGGGTCCCCAGCATCACCCCCAGGGGCTGCTGAGCACCTGGGGACCCCCAAACCCTTTAACCCCAGTTCTCTTGTGGGCTGGTTCGTGTGGTGGCACTGGGGATGCTGCTGGCATGCCCCAGCAGTGATGGGTGCTGGTATCCCAACGCCAGCACACTCAGATACTGGGGTATGGGAGTCCCAATGCCCCTGGGGGGGGGGGGGGGTCTGCACCCCCTTTCTGCCTCCCCCTCTCTCATCGTCAGTGGCTGTTAACCCCATCCTGGGGCATGCGGGGTGGGAGAGGGTGTCTGTTGTCTTGTCTTTGTCCTTCACACTGCGGCAGCGGGGCCAGGGCTGATTGTCACCCCCAAGTCCCCATTTGCCCTTTACCCTTGGGGAGCTGGGCCAAGTCCCAGCCCTCTCCGGTTCAGCCCATCTCAGACCCTGCTCCAAGGCTGTGGTGTTGATCCAGCTCTCCATGCCCCATCCTGGTGCAGTGGCAACGGCAGCACCGTGCCCGCTGCTGGTCCCCTCTGTGCCCTGTGGCCATGGGAGGGTTGGGGTCCTGTTGCTGGGGTCCTGGCTGTGTGTGTCCCCCTTATCCCAAGCCTTACTCTGGGGCTCTACACCAAGCAAGTGGTGCTGGGTACCACTGGAGCCCCCCCGAGCCTTTAGGCACCACCAGATGTGTTGGCATCCCTGTTTACCAGCCGGTCTGATGGCCCCAGCATGTCCCCATCCTGGTTTGGGGAATGGAGCAGCATCTCCCAGCTCAACCCAACAACTCCCCTCCCCAGCACTCACCCATCTCCTGGGGGGCCTGGTTAACCCCCCCTTTCCCCTCTGCTTTACAGGCTTGACCCGCAGCGGCTCCGCCAAACCGAAGGTAAGAGGGTGCTGGGCTGGGGGCTGGCAGGGAGGGATGCGATGGCTTGGACATGGAGCTCATCCCTAACCCTGGCATCACCACGTTCCCAGGGCACGTGGCCGTCGCGAAAGGCACCGCCGCACCGGGAGCTCCTCGCCATCCCCTTCGTCTCGGCCGCCGCACGCAAGAGGAAGAAGAGGAGAGAGGCCGAGGGCGTTGGGAGCAGCACCGACGACGACGCGGAGCGCAGGGATGCTCCAGGCCGGGAGCAGGACGAGGAGGGGACCGCGGCCATCCTGCCGGGACATGGCAGAGCCCCCCGCGGCACCCGCCCCAAGCCGGCGGTCCCCAGCCCGGCTGGGATGGAGCAGGAGAGCTCCCTGGAGGCCGGGGATGCCGTGTCCGAGCCAGCTCCCGATGCCCGCTCCATCGTGTCGGGCTACTCCACCTTGTCCACCATGGACCGCAGCCTGTGCTCCGAGGTGCAGTCGGTGGCCGGGAGCCGCGGGGAGGAAGCGGATGATGAGCGCAGCGAGCTCAGCCACATGGAAACGGACACGGAGAGCCGGGAGGGCGCCCGGCGCCGGCTGGGGCAGGGGGACGGTGGTCCCGGGGATGAGGACAAGGGGCTCCTGAGCCGCCCTTCCTTCAATTCCCACCGCCTGATCCAGTGCGACACGCTGGCCCGCAGGAAGCTGGCGCGGCCCCGGCCGGCCGGTGACACCGCGGTGCCCAGCAAGGAGGAGCCGGGCTGGGGTCCCTCGCTGCGGGAGCAGCTCCGGCAGCGCCTGCGGGGCTCTGCCGAGGACATGGGGGTGCTGCTGCGCCGAGCCCACTCCCCGGAGACGCGCCGCAAGAAGAGCAGCTGGCGCCGGCACACGGTGGTGGTGCCCGGCGGCATCAAGGACCTCAACTGCAACGAGTGGAAGGAGCCGCGCGGGGTCGAGGTGGCCCCGGGACCCTGCCGTGACAAGGACTCGGGGCTCAGCAGCCTCGAGTCCACCAAAGCCCGGCCCTTGGCACAGCCTGGCATCACCGGGGAGGCATCCGCTACCAAGAGCCCCCCCGGCAGCCCCGCTCCCCCGGCCCCCCTGCGCTTCCCACAGTGTCTGTGACCCCCCCCCCCCCCCCTTCCCCAGGGATGTGCACCCCACAGCTCCCCATCCCCCAGAGGGTTTAACTTAAGGACTCACCTTTGTTCCTGTATTTAAGTGTGCTCTGGACAAGCTGCTCTTATTTAACAGGTCCCCGTGGTCCCGGGTTTGGGGACAGCCTGGGTCCCATGTCCCAGCAGTGGGCAGCGCCAGGGACCCATGGGGACCATCGCCACCCCAGGCAATGGTAGCTCTGCGGTGTCCGTGGCAATGGGAAGTGCTGGCACTTCCTTGGGCGCTGCGGCTGCATTGGCCGGGGACATTCCCGGTGCTGGGAGCCCTGCGGACCCTGGGCTGGGAACCTTGCAGACCTCGGGCTGGGGACCCTCTGCTTGGGACCCTGGGACCTCGGTGTGCTCTGTGCTATGGGGTCCGGGCTGAGCCCCGGTGGCCCTTGGATGGTGTCCCCATGGGCTGGGTGTGACAAGAAGAGGGGACCTTGATGCAATGGGGGGGGACGACACACACACACGCTGCCATCCCCTGCACTCCATGAGCCACAGCCCGGTGTGTGGCACATGGCACAAGGCACAGCCCCGTTCCCCTTCCTACCCCTCCAGGCTAAAAGCACTTTAGGAAGGGGACACAGGGAGCCCCCCCCAGCCTTGCCATGGGCCATGGTTGGTGTCACTTGGGGGGGGGGGGGGGGGGGCTCCAGTCACGTCACTGTTTCCCCCGTGTCGTTCTCATACGTTCTGCAGGTATTTGCTGTAAAGTTGGGTTTTTCTTTACTCCCCCCTCCTGTAAATACGCTCCCCGGCTCTGTAAGATACCGCAGAGGGTTTCTAAAGGGTTTTTTAAGCTGTTTTGCTCCACGGAAAGGGCCAGCCCCAAGCAGGGGATGTGCTGGACCAGTGATGACTTCTGCCCCCCTCCTGCATGTGTGCCCCCACCTCTGTGTGTTGTACAAGTTGGGCCATGGAGCTGGTATATGCAAAAGTACACCCCCCCCCCCAAAACACAACACCCCCAAACACAGCCCCTCCATTGCTTCATCCCACTCCAGTCCTGGTCTATATATTGGAAATAAACTGGTTATTCAAGGAGGTGGTTTCCTGCCTCATTGTCTCTGCTTGGGGTTGGGGGGGGTCAGGGCAGGGATCCCATGTTTTCTGTGCTACAGGGCCTGGAGCACTGGCAGCATCCAGGGAAGGATTTATCCCAGCTTTTTCTAGAGCCTGGAGGGAGAGGAGGTGGATCCACACCCCCATTGACCCATCCCAAATGGGAATGTGGGGCTGGGGTGGTCTCGGGACCAGGGATGTCCCACCCCATCGCCCAAAGAGAATGTGGTACCAGGGTGGTCTCAGGAGCAGGGATGTCCCACCCTGTTTCCCATAGGGAATGTGGTACCAGGGTGGTCTCAGGAGCAGGGATGTCCCACCCTGTTTCCCATAGGGAATGTGGTACCAGGGTGGTCTCAGGAGCAGGGATGTCCCACCCCATCGCCCAAAGAGAATGTGGTACCAGGGTGGTCTCAGGAGCAGGGATGTCCCACCCCATCTCCCATAGGGAATGTGGGACTGGGGTGGTCTCAGGAGCAAGGATGTCCCCCCCTGTTTCCCATAGGGAATGTGGTACCAGGGTGGTCTCAGGAGCAGGGATGTCCCACCCCATCTCCCATAGGGAATGTGGGACTGGGGTGGTCTTGGGACCAGGGATGTCAACCCCACCTCCTAAAGGGAATGTGGACTGGGGTGAAGCTCAGGAGCAGGGATGTTAAACCCCATCTCCCATAGGGAATGTGGGGCTGGAGTGGTCTTGGCACCAGGGATGTCCCACCCCATCTCCCAAAGAGAATGTGGTACCAGGGTGGTCTCAGGAGCAGGGATGTCAACCCTATCTTCTAAAGGGAATATGGTACTGGGGTGGTCTCAGAACCAGGGATGTCCCACCCCATCCCCAAGAGACCAAACTTGGGGAGGGGTGTGTTGAAAAAAGTACCAGAGACAGAGAGAAAACAACCCAAAAGAAAAAAAGAAAGTAATTTTATTAAAGCCAGACACTCTGATAGAAAAGAAAAGTAATAAAAGAAAACAACCAAAAGCAACCCTTTGTCATCGGCGTTTGCACGTTACAATGGTCACGTTGTGCACAGAACTACCCATGGCATCCACAGTGACACAGGGACAGCGGCGGGCACGGGGCAGGGAGGGCGGCGGGGGGCAGCTCCCCCCATCCCACCCTTTACCCTCTTCCCACCTCGGTTTTGGGGGGGGGGGGTGGGGTTTGGTTCTTCTTGAAATCCCTTTTTGCTTTTAAAACAGTTCACGAGAAAAAATTCATGCGGAGACACACGACGCGGTAGAAACCCCAAAAAACAGCTTCTAAAGAGTAGGAGGAATAGATTTTTTTTCTCTTTTTTTTATGTTTGTTTTTTTTTTTGTGTCCTTTTACAAGTAACCTTTTTTTTTCTTAAACAACATCCAGACAGTAAAGCGGGGTGCGCATGCAGCGGGCGCCTCCGACACATGCACGATGCAGGCAGCGCTTGGGGTTCTTCTTCTTTTTCTTGTTTTTTTTTGGATCATTTTTGTAATGTTTTCCTCTTTTTTTTTTTTTTGGTCCTTTTTTTTTCTTTTTTTTTTCTTTATCTCTCCTCAACCAGAAGGAAGGGTTTGGTTTATGTGGGTTTATGTCCTCTTTGCTTCAGCGCCGGCACCGGGCTCGGTGCTCGCGGAGGGTTCGCGTGATGCCATGAAGGGACGGACGCACACGCACGCAGAGACACATACGCTCACAGAGAAACCAGCCTGATGGGCAGTGGGGAGGGTTGTGGGGAGGGGGAAAGAAATGGGTGCACCCCATCACCCAGTGCACCCCATCACCCAGTGCACCTGTCATCCATCGCTGTGCATCGCATCACCCATCACCGTGCACTCCATCACCCATCGCAAGGTGATCTGGATGCAGGTGGGGGTCCACCAATGGTGATGCCTGGGAGGGGGGTGGTCCCTGGACAAAGCCGGGGTGCAGCAAAGGGAATAGACCCATAGACACACCCCCCCCCCCCCATCCCAACAGCTGGAGCTTGCTCCAAGTAGGAAGGGTGATGGAACACCCATGGGTGCTACTGGGATGGGGCTGCACTAACTACAGCTCCCCCCCACCCTGACCACTTTGCACCCACATGTCCTTGTCACTGGGGGGCTGGTGGCACTTGTTCCCCCCAGGACAAATAGGGACAGCAGGTCCCAGGACACAGGGTGCTGCCCGGGAGTCCCCCTCCTTGGGTGCCGGCAGGATGGACCCACGGGAGCACTGGGATGGGTGTAGGTCAGGGCGGGATGGGGCTGGGGAAGAAGAGTGGGGGGACCCCATCCTGGCCATAAGAAGCTGCGGCTTTGCTACAGTATTTCACTTTGGTACCAAGAAAAAATCATCAAAAAAGGAAATAACACACATCAAGTGACTGCTATTGCTGCAGGGAGGTGGGTGCCAGCGTCCCCGAGGCCATCACCCATGGGTGCCAGCGTCCCCGGGGGCACCCAGCCCCTTCCACCCCCTGCTCCGGCAAGGGATGGGGATGGGGACAGGACAAGGAAGGTGCTGGATGGAGAATGAGGACTCAGCACGAGGGCTCACAAGCCGCTAGGAACCGACCCTCTCAAAATCACAAGGAGCTATAGGCTAACAGGGAAGCAAATCCACCCCCTAAGATACCAGACGGGACAAGATTTATTTCTTTTCTTTTCTTTTCTCTTTTTCTTTTTTTCTTCTTTAAATATTTATATATTTCTATTTATAGTACGTATATTATATATATATAATATGTAAATATATTTCTTAAAACAATATAAAATGTTAAGACACTTCACTTAAATGTAAAGAGTTGCTTTTTGCAATCCAAAGAAATTGCATCATGATTCTTTTTTCTTTTTTTCTCTTTTTTTTTGTCTCTTTTTTGTCTTTTCTTCTCTTTGTTATTCAAAAAAGGCTCGTTCTGTACAAAAATGATCGATATACAAAAAAAAGAGGGGAGGGGGGAAAGAAGTAATAATACTAATAAATAAGACTAATAAAAGAAAGCAACCCAAGGAGAAACTGGCCAACGAAAGGAGTGAATCGATCTCGTGTTGCACACCCAGTGCACACCCAGCTCACTGTGCTAATGGGGGGGGACACGGGCAAAGGGACCCCCTCCGTGTTCCCCCAGGCTTGGGGATGGGACTGCTCCCCAGGGAAGAACCATGTGGGATCCCCATGTAAGGGGCTTTGGGGACCTGCTTGTCCCCAAGGGTATTTGGTGCTCAGGGAGGGGACAGTGGGGTTTCTGAGCCCCCTGAGCATCACATTGTGCCCACCCAAGTGACCCTTTAAAGTGCTACGTTGCGACCCGAAGGCGATGGCAGCTCGGCTGGACCCGTTCCTGCCCCTTCCCCGTTTCACATCCTCAGCCTCCGGCCTCTCTGGCACGTCCGGGCACCCCTTGGGGCTGCTCCCGGCTCCTTCCCCAGCCCTCTTCCCACCACCCCTCCCCGGGAAGAGCCGGGGCTGGCGCCTGGGGGGCAACCGGTGGCACCGGCACCCGCTCGGGATGGCACCGGTGAAGGACACGGTGCCGCCGCCGCCGCGCCACCCGCCACCCATCGCCAAGACCTGGCCGGAGCTCCGAGCATCCTCTCATCCTGCTGGCTCGGTGTCGCGGCGGCCGGGATGCTCGGTGAGGGCCGGGAGCGAGCGCTCGGATGGAGGGGTGTCTTCGGCAGCTGTTTCCCACCTTTCCGGGGTGGAATGGGTGCTGCTCGCATGGGCAGCGGGGTTGGGTGCTGCCCGGTGTCCTCCTTGCTTGAAGCTGGTGAAACTGGTGGAGTGAAGCTCTGAGAGCTCTTAAATAAATAGAAAACGGTGGGGTGGGAAGGGAGGGGAGGGCGGAGAAAAACCAAACCAACAGCAACCCAAAGGAACCGAAAGGAAAAGGGAAAAGGAAAGGGAAAGGGAGGAGAAAGAGAGAGAGAGAGAAACAGAAAGTGGCTGGTTGGCCATTGCGGAGCGAGATGGGAGACAGAAGTCGGGCCGAGGCGGAGCAGAGGCGAGACACAAGTTGGGCCGAGGCGGAGCAGAGGTGAGACACGAGGTCGGCCACATTGGAGCAAAGACATGGATATAAAACAGAAAGAGGAGGGACGGGTGGTGAATCCCTCCAGGTGCCTCAAGAAGACAAGTCCCAGGGAGGAGGAGCCCAAGGAAGAGAGAAGCCCGGCCCCAGAAGCAGGAGAGCAGTTGGGTTGAGCTGGCAAGGATGCTCAGAATGAGATGGAGGAGTTCCTTGCCCCAAAGGAAGTCAATACGGGGATGGATGTTCTGCCAGATGCGGGTTTTTCTGAGACCGTGGGGGAAGTCTCACTAGCCTCTTTAGTTGGTCTAGCGGCCTAGAAAGAAAAGCAAGATTCAAGGAGGAGGAGGAGGAGGAGAAAGGGGCGGAAAGTCAAACAGTTTCTTACAGGAAAAAAAAAAAGACAAAAGAGAGGGAGAAAAAAGACAGAATAAAGGAAAACAACCGAGAACCAACACAGCCAAGGACCAAACAGGAGTTTGTTCAGAAGCAGCATTGAGTTAGGCCTGAGGTCAAGCAGCTGGAAAAGGTCCACCACAAACAGAGCACGAGATGAGGCTGGTCCCACGCGTTACTGGATGGGAAAGGGACGTCCCCGAGCGGAGGAGGAGGAGGAGAGAGACGAGAGAGACACAGACAGACGGACAGACACAAGGACAGGCAGGCAGGCACAGAGGCGGGTGAAGGGGAGAAAGGTGGGGGGGGACAAGAAGGGCAGTGTTAGATGTTAGACGAGGTGGGCACAGTGCAGCACCCAGCTCCACCGGCTGGTGCCGGGGATGCCACCAAGGTCTGGGTGGGCATCAACCCTCAACCGAGCAGGGCAGAGCCTCAGCAGCCCCACAGCAGGACCATGGCAGCCCCAGCTCCTCTGAGAGGTGACAGTGCCCACCCTGTACCCTTGCATCCATCACAGTGATGTGACGGCCACCAGCAGTGACATGACCCAACCCTACTCCAGTGTGATGCAAAGGGAGCCAGGGCACTGGGAATGATGCTTGTAATCCCTCCTGGAATGGAACTAGATGATCTTTAAGGACCCAGTCCAAACCACTCTGTGATCCTATGAATGGGGGAGAGGGCTCCTGCTGTAGTGGGGTGGGATGCTGGGCACAGGGACACGCAGCCAAACCCTGTACATGGAGGGCATCCAGGACTAAAATGCCATGGAAAACTGGTCCAGCCACCCTAGTGGGTGCTAGGGACCGGGTGAGTGCCAAGGGGTGCCCCGAGGTTGGGGCATGGTGACACTGGACAGCCGGGCCTGTGCTGGTGTGTGGGTTCCAGGGAAGGGGACTTGGTGGCCAGGACAGGTTGATGCTTCCCAAGCCCTCAGAGCTCCTGGAATAGGCCTTTTGACCAGCGTTACTGCCCATGGGGCAGCCCTGTCATTCCCTGGTGCTGGGGGTGACTGGCAAGAAGACCCCAACATCAAGGATAGACCCTGCCCGAGGATGCCTCACCACGACCCTGGGACCATCTCGGTTGTGGCTACGACAAACAGGACCTGAGTGGCTCTGATCCAGCAACGGAGCAGCCAAGGGGGAACAGAGGGGCTGCACCCTCTTGCTGGAGCTGGGAGGGACACAAGGTGCCTATCCTGCTCATGCAACAACCGCCCAGATTGCATGATGTGTCCCAGCCCGGCTTAAACAGCTGGGAAAACCCTTTGGTTTATCCAACAGCGTTCATGGATCCAACAGAATGAGCAAAACCGGGTTGGTTTGGGGTGGTTTAATGCCAGGCCCAGGGAAAGGGGATTGAGACACAGAGCAGGGAGTGGGGAGGAGAGGATGGGGATGAACCCACTCGTGGTCCTGCTGCCCACTGGAGGCAGGAGGGGAGGGCTGGGATGGAGAGAGGAGGAGTGAGGAGGGATGGAGGGCAATGTGCTGGCTGTGGTTACCTTGCCTGTGGTCTGAGCAAGCTGGAGAAGGCACCGCCAGCACTGGGGTGTCAGCAAGAACAGCGGGGACCGAGTCCCAGCACCATGGCAGGGGATGGGAGAGGGGTGGATGCTGGGCTGGGCCACACACACACCACCCCACTGCGCTCCTCTTCCAGCTGCTGTGCCCCCCCCCCCCAAGCTCTCCCCACACTGCCCAGGTTCCACCCCTCTGGCTGTGACACCCCTTCCTAGGACAAGCTGCTTCTGCAGACACGATGGGTCCTGGCTCTCCGAACCCCCCTGGGATGGGCTGCACATCCCTTCCCTTCCCAGCCCTTGGAGGCCCTGTGCCATGCGCGCAGCTCTGCAGCCCATCACCATGGCCAAGATGCTCTGCAAGGAGGCTTCGGGGTCCCTCAGGATGAGGGGACCAACGCTGGGGCTCAGCCCTGTCCATCACTGAGCTGCGGCACAAATGACTTCAGCCTCACACCATACTGGTTAATGAGTTTGTCACTCTCAGCACAAAGCCATGTCCCCATTCCCAACAGCCAGCTATGGAAACCACCGTGCTGGGCATAGACCAGGGCAAGAGCCCCCTCTGCACCCCAAGAGTCACATCCCTGTGCCCCCAGCCCTGCTGGGCTCAGCCAAGGTGAAGGGGTGGACCAAGAGAGCCAGTCCCTCAAAGCAGCACCCGAGATGCTGGGGCTATGGGCAGCGTGTGGCTCTCCCTGGTGCCAGGAGAACTGGTCAGGATGGTGCTGGAGGTAATAACTACCTGCTGCTGGCCCTGGATCCGCATGTACTCCATCCGCTGCTTTATGTGCTTGCTTTTGTCGGGGCTGCCCTGCTGGCTCTGCTTCAGCCGGGATGCCGGGTTCACCACCTTCATGGCCGGGATGGAGACGCCACCGCTCTGTTGGGACAGAGGATTTGGGGAAGGGGGTTAAAACCGGCAGATGAAAGCTCACAGCAGCACCGTGGGCAGCTGGAACATCGGATGCATGGAGCTGTACCCAGCTCCCGTGGCAACCACCGTGTCTGGACAGCCCATAGAGGCAAACTCAGGCAAGGACAAGGTCACCCCAGCATCAGTGAGGTCAGGAACCAGGCAGGACTTATCGACAGCCACCACTGCAACGCAAAGAGGGAGTTAGGGGCAGACACGGCAAACACCAGGAGACCGAGGGCAGGAGGAGAACATCCCTGCCGGGGCAGGGCTGCACAGCCAAGAGAAAGGAAAAGAGGCGATGGGAGATTCCAGGTGGAAACGGCAGCAGTGGGAATGCAGAGGTTTTTATTCCCTGGCTGTGCACAGATGGAAGAGCAGCAGTGAGGGCAGCTGGTACTGCAGGTCCCTAAAGTGGGGCACCCCAGATCCTCTTGCATGCCTCCTGCCTGCCCCAAGCCGAGTCTGGAGCAGAGATGCTGCCCCAGAGACGTGCAATTGCTGCCCAGATTGCACCTCCACTGGGAGAGGGACAGCAGGCTACCACAGCGTGTCCTCCCACCCTGCTCTGTGATCCATGGGGCAGACACTGGGATTCCTGCACCTCACAGCACAGGGAACGCAGCATCCCTGGCACGAGCACACTCCGGATCTCAGCCTTCACATCCAACTCGCTGCAGCCTTGAGAGGTGCCACAAGCCCTGCGCTCTCCTGCTCTGCTTCTGGGACTAAGCCAGCTCCTGCTGCCAAGAGCCTGAGCTGAGCTTTGCTTTGTGCCTGCCCCTGCACGCACACAGCCACGAATCCATCCCCACATCCAGGCTCCAGCGGGGAGGTGACACCAGGAGAAACTGCAGCTGCATCCCCTTGAGGGCCACCCTCGGTGGCACCAGGAACCAGGGCTCGGATCATTGCTGCACATGGAGATTTATTCCCTGGCGCTGACTGTTAATAAGGGAGCAGAAGTGGCTGAGGGCATTTTCCACCCTCTTTTCCCAGCTTATCCAGCCAGGCGAGCCACAGATTCCAGCAGAAAGCAGTTTGGATGGCTCCGGGCAGCCTGCGCTGGGATGTAATTAGGAGAAACATCTGCCATGCTCCAACTGCAGTTCCTGAGACAAGGACTTATAAAGGAGGGATGCTGCTTTGTCACCACGCTGGCCCCATGGGATGCTCATCACCAGCCCCAAAACCTGCTCAGGCAGAAGACAACCAGCTTAGCGAGGGTCTAATTCAGCGCAGGCAGCATCAGCACCAGTGAGGGGCAGGATGCAGCATCGCCTGTCTTCACGCTGCCTTCAATCTCCCTCCTGCTTTCCTGCACTTCCCAAACACCTTCGAGTGACAGGGAAAGGAAAGAGATTTGTTTTCCACCTTGGCTCGGCCTGGAGGTGGAGTCACAGAGAGGGAGCAGGTAGAGGTGGAGGAAGAGAGACATCAGAGTGAGTCCAGGGCAGAGCACAGCAAGAGGGATAATAGGAAATAAACCTGTGGCTTGGGTAGCAGAGGTGGCTTGGTCTTGCTTGGAGACAGGCTCTTAGGAGCATCATCTCTGGCCTGACTGAGGTCCAGGATAGTCCCATCATCACAGCTACCGTGTCTGAGATCCCCCACACCTTCCTTGGTCTCCTCACGGGCATCCTTGGATCCCGCTGGTCCGAGCAGCTCTTTAGGGAATACAGATTCAACGGCGGGGTGGCTGCTGATCTCACTGATGGTTATTTCCAGCTCACGGATGGTTTCTTCCAGGCTATCCAGTCTCTGGTACGTGCCTTCATAGATCTCCTTGCTGCACGGGCTCATGGAGCAGCGAGGGGACAACTGCCCCTTGCAGACCCCCTCTGCTGCCTTCCTCCCAACCCCAGCATCCTCTGTGCCACCCCGGCACGGTGATGCTGTGACATGGGGCAGTTCAGGCCGGGACTGTCCACTTCCCCACGGGGCTGGAGCTCTGCTTGGGGAAGCTCCAGGATGTGGCACTGGGCAGGCTGGGGCTGGTGAGCTGTCCTCCCTCCACGCAGAGTCTCCAGGTGGGACTGAGACCCACTGTTTGCTCTGCCCAGCTCCAACTTGGGGGTCCCCATCACTGGGATGCTGGGGGACAGCACCAAGCCTCCTGCTGCTTGCACTGGTGGAGGGGAGCACTGCTTCTCCAGCTCCAGGACCCATTGCTTCTCGCTGGGGCTGTGCAACCAAGGAACGTCGATGGGAAACCTTGCTGCTGCCTTCTTGCTTGCTGGAGGCATCCAGAGCACCATCTCCTCCTTCTCCCACCATGGGGCAGCTCAATTTATGCCTTGAGAAAGGCAGGACCTTGCTGGCTGCTAGAGGGAACCTCCAGGTCTCCCCTGCTCCATGGGCATGGCCCATTGGATGGGCTCGGATGGACTTGGATGGGCTGCTCAGGGGCTGCGGGGCTGAGCCTGGAGGGTCCCCAGGACCGGAGATGCCAGCGGACCCCTGGCATTTCCTTCCCACCCCTCCTGCTCCTATGGGGCCAGACAGGTCCCCATTCTCCGAGCTGCCCGTTGCCACCCAGACCTCCGCTTCGGCTTCGGGGGACGGTGGTTCTGACACCCACTGGGTGAGCACGATCTGCGGGAGGGAGAAGGGCCTGCTCCCCGGCTCCTAGGTAGAGAATTCAGACACGTTAAGAGCAGGAGGTGATGGAGAGCACTGAGGGGCTGCACACACCACTTGGAAACCCTATTTCTGTCGCCTCCGGGCATCGTAGCGCTGCAGGGAGGTGGTCAGCCAAGGAGGGAGATGCTCAGCTCCCTGCTGCCCAGCCCTGACACCCCATTGGTCCCCACAGCACAGACAGGGAGTGTTTTCAATGTGTTTCTGGGAGATTTTGGCAGCACATTGCCTGGACTTCAGCAAAACTGAGTTGGGGTCGCTGCACCGAATGCCTTTGGAAACTCAACTGCAACTACCCAGCAATCCCATGCTGGGATAAACTGGCAGAGCACTGGTGCAAGAGCAGAGCCCGGAGTAGCATCCACGATAAGGAGACAAGGAGACATGGGTTCTGGGGTGGCTGCGGAGCTCTGGGTCCAGAGCTGGACCAGTCTGACCGCTGGGGAGAGGGGTCCTTGTCCACAGGGACAGGAGATGGTCGATTCAGCCTTGGTGCTGGGTGTCCCAGGAGAGGGGACCCAGACCCCACCAGCACCTGAGCTGCCCTGGATGAGGCAGAGCTCCTCTCGCCAGATGCTTTCAGTGATACCCTCTGTCCTTGCCTCTTTGTCCCCCCACCCTGGGCATCCCCTGCTCCATCCCATCCACTCTCCAGGTGCTTTCCTCCTGCTCCCTCCACCCCAGAGCCCAGGACAGGATGGAGGGCAGGGGCGGCCTGAAGGGGTGATGGAGCCAAACCCAACTGGGTCCCAGCAGCCACCAGCCTCTGGTCCAGCCCTTCACCTGCATCATGCACACGGATCAGGCTCCCCTTGCTCAGACATGCATCACCCACCATGGCCCCCTTCCAGCGACACCCTCCCTGGGCACCCAGCGTGGCACGAGGTCAAGAAGCCCCTCCCTGTGCCCATCCCAGTGTGATGCCGGGGTGTCCCCATCCATCCTCCCATCCATGTGGCTGCAGGAGCTGCAGCAGCGCCGTGCCGCTGATGCAGGGGTTAGTGCTGGGTCCTGTGCCGGGTCAGTGCCGTACACGCAGTGGTGGTGAGGGAGGGAGTGGAGAGAAGCTGTTAGTTTGTTAAACCAGAGAAAGAAGCAGAAGTGAGTTAAAAAGAGGCAGGAGAGGAGGTGGTTAAAGTGCACCCCGGCAGCAGGAGGAGGGGTCGTCCGCTGTTACCTTCCATCCTTCAATGCAGGCTCCGTTGGGCCACAAGTCTGCGTGCCCAGGGGAGACGGCAGCATCGTATCGGAGCTTGGGGAGGAAAGGGGAGGCAGAGCTCCTCTGAAAGACCTGGGGAGTCAAACACGGGCCATTGGAGGAGGGAGGCTTGAGGGTACCGATGCAGCCCGTGGCTGCAGGGATGCTTGTGGTGGTCACACCAGACCCAGGGCTCAAGCGGAACAGGGGGAACGTGGATGCAGCCCCGTCCTGCAGCATCACCGGTCCCCCGGCCTCCTGGGGGAAAACCAGCCATGGAAAAGCCATCCGCTACCCACTTGGGCACCTCAGCTGTGGCAAACGGGGCAAGGATGTGGGGCAGAGCCAGCCTCGGGGAGTTCAGAGCCTGGCACAGTGTGTCGGGTGGGATCTCTGCAATGCCCTGCACACAAAGCCCTCCAGCTGAAGCTGCATAAAACCAAGTGAGGTTATCTTAAAGCCCACGATGGGGTGGAAGTGCTGAAGAGAGACCATGAACCAGGCAGCGAGGGGTCTGGCTGGGTGCAACAGCTCCACGCTGCCCATTCCCATGGGAGACAGGCGAGGAGGGGACAGCCTGTGGGATGTCATTCCCTGCATCCCATCGCATTCCCGGGGGCCGGGTGCAGGGTGGCATCGCCTGCGGTGCGGGTTAAGCTGGGGCATCCCGCAGCCCCTCCCGCGCTCACCTCCAGCTCCGCAATGATGCGGTCCTCGTCGTCGTCGTCTTTGATGGCAGAGGCGATGATGGGAGGGGTGGACGCGGGTCTCACCACCTCCGACACCGTCCGCCTCAGCTTCACCTGCGGCTTCTGCGTCTCCAGCTCCTCCGATTCGGCCTTCTGCAAGCGGGGAGCAGGGCGGTGAGGGGGGTCTCACTGGTGGTGACCCCCTCAATGCACCCCAAGCACCATCCCATAGCCCCCCTCCGCTCGCTACCTTTATAAACCCGGGTTCTTTCTTGCTGGTGACGATGACTTCGCCGCTGCGGGTTGTGGTCAGCCCGTGGGACGAGGGGAAGCTCCGGCGTGGAGGGGGAGGCGGTGGCGATTTGGAAGGTTTCTCGGTCCGGTACCGCGGCACCGTCAGTTCGTCTGGGCACAAACGATGCTGTGAGGGCACGAGACCTGTCCCTGCCCCTCTCATCCAACACCCGAGGCACAAACCTCCCTTCGGGGCAGCACGGCTCAGCCCCATCCCTGGGCTATGGAGGGGGACCCGTGACCGCCCCACACCATACCTGAGCCCCTGCGGCCGTTGGGGTCTCCTTTGCCCCCCGATTTCGGTGCGTGCTGCGGCTTGGAGGGTTTGTGCTCGGGGGTGGATGCAGTGCTGCCGCTGCCTGGGGCTTGCTTGTGCTTGGCAGCGAATTCCAGGTCGGGAATGGCCTTCATCAGCTCGGCTTGGGTCTCCTCCAGGAGGCGGTTGATGTCCTTGGCGCTGTATTGGGTCAGTGCCGCTCGCTTCTCCTCCCAGTCCCGCTCGGCAGCCTGCAGGAGGAACCCGCTGCAGCCCCACGCACGGCAGCATCTCCTGCCCTTGCAGGCAGGATGGGACCCACAACCCTCCTGCCAGCCCCTAAACTGATGCCGAGCCCGGAAGGAATGGGGGGGTCCCCATTTTCAGCCACCCTATTGGCTGCAAACCCAGTGAGGAGAAGGAGGATAGACCAAATTCCTGTTCACAGGTTCAGCTGGAAATAGAATCTTAGGATCATAGGATCATAGACTGGTTTGGGTTGGAAACCACCATAGACTGGTTTGGGTTGGAAACCACCATAGACTGGTTTGGGTTGGAAACCACCATAGACTGGTTTGGGTTGGAAACCACCATAGACTGGTTTGGGCTGGAAAGGACCTTAAGATCAGCTACTTCCAAACCCCTGCCATGGACATGGATACCTCACACTAGACCATGTTGCCCAAGGCTCTGTACAGCCTGGCCTTGAACACTGGATGGGGCAACCACAGCTTCTCTGGGCACCCTGTGCCAGCACCTCACAACCCTCACAGGGAAGAGCTTCTGCCTCATCTCCAACCTGAACTTCCCCTGTTTCAGTTTGAACCCATCACCCCTTGTCCTGTCACTGCAGTCCCTAATGAAGAGTCCCTCTCCAGCATCCTTGTAGCCCACTTCAGATACTGGAAGCTGCTCTGAGGTCTCCACGCAGCTTCTCTTCCCCAGGCTGAACAGCCCCAATGTTCTCAGCCTGGCTCCATACGGGAGCTGCTCCAGCCCCTGAGCATCCTCGTGGCCTCCTCTGTCCTTCCTCCAACAGCTCCATGTCCTCCTTATGTTGAGGACCCCAGAGCTTCACGCAGTGCTGCAAGCGGGGTCTCATGATATCAAAGGGGTAGGATCGCCTCCTTCAACCTCCTGCTCGCTCTCCTTTTGATGCATATTCCATAGGGAAAACCCCTTTGGAAGAGCCCCCCCATCCAAGCCCCAACTCATCCCAGGCTCTCACCTCCACGGATACAGCTTTGTCTGCGCTCTTCTTGCTGGGGGTCTCGGGGCCCGTCTGGGTCTTGGCTGGCACCATCTCCGGTGCTCGGGAAGGGTTGTTACTCTTGGAGGGATGGCTTTGGGTTTGGGGGGGGCTGTGCCCGAAGCCGGGCATGCCCAGGGTCTCAGTGGCCGCAGTCAGGTGGTGGAGGCTGACGGGGGGGCTGGTGGGCACCTCCAAATCCAGCCCCTTGCTGAAGTCTGCCTCGGGGGCCACCTTCTTAGGGGACTGGCTCAGGTTGCTGGGGGACGTCCACACGCCCTCGTCCACTTGCCTGCAAGGGACAGAGCGATGGCACCAGGCACGGGTGGCTTCACTGCACCCTCTCCAAGGCGCAGCACCAAAACTCAGCCCGGCGCTGCGAGGATGAAGGCGGAGGTTCTCGGATGGCTGCGAAGGGGTTGGTATTGATGCTACAGCCTCCTCTACCTGGCTGTCCGTTCGCATGAACCTGGTAGGAAAACGGATCTTCCCCAACCCTGCCCCTCTGTCAGATCTGGCTGGAATGGCCCTTTGGATTTAGGAGTGATGAGGGATAGGGAATGACAGCGAGGGCAGATTCAGACACTGTGATCATACAAGCTCACTCCCATAGAAAACCAGGCTAACAAAGAGCCTGAGGCGGTGAGCTGTGAGCCATCCGAAAGGGCTCATAATGGGAAGAGGCAGGTAGGCTCAGCCCAGCACCATTGTTAGATCTGGAAGACGATTTCCCTCCAGCGGAACTTTTCCTGCTCCTCAGGAAAGAGGTTTCTGATCACACACTGAGGCTGCTTTTCTATCTGGTTACACCTCCAGGCTTTTCCAAGGTGATCCGGAAAAGTCAGTGTAGAAAGAGGGGCTCCCACACACACTGGGAAGGACTGAGGGGTGATTTTTAGCTCCTTAGCAGCAAAATGAGCTTTCTTTCCCCATCCCCTTTGGGATTTGCACCTGTAGCGCAGGCAGGATACAGCACACAACGCAGAGGGCAGAGGGGAAAGCGAAGGGACCGCCTGTGTCCTCCAAGATGCTCACCTACGGATCTGGGCGAGGGTGTCCGTCACCGTCTTGCAGCGCTTGAGGAGCCCATCGAGGCGGTTCGGCTCCTCCTTGAGGAACTTGACAGCTTCCACCTCCACCCGCAGCACCACCCGCATCTTGCTCTGCAGGCTGGGGAACTGGGCTGGGTTGGGGGGCAGAGGTGGGGGTCACCACAGCCCCCCTGTGCCACCAAAACCCCCACCATGGTCATCACACCCAAGGCAAGGGGACCCTCCCAGATGGAGCGGGATGGAGCCTGAGGAGCTGGGGCTGGTGCCTCTCCTGCTCCCTGTGTCCTTCATCCTTCCTCCATCCATCCTCAGGCACAGATTTTAGCCCCTCAAGGTGTAACCCCCCCACCCCTACATCCATGAGAACCAAACCCTGCTCTGGAGCTGGGAGCTTGGTACCCAGGGCTCAGTGGCAAGGGCTGGCATGGAGCAGGTGCCAGTGCTCTGCTCAGCATCCCGGCTGCTCAGCTTCTGCCTGACTCCATGGAAAGGCTGCAGGAAAAGGGAGCAGCTCCTGTGTCTGCCCTGTGCCCCATAGTGCTCCCCACAGCACCCCATTGAGCCTTGTCTTGCAACCTCAGCGACTGCTGCTAAATCATCATTTATTGCCTGCTTTGGCTCTGCCACTTCCAATTGAGGTGCTGAGCATCTCTTTGTGAAAGGCAGGATGGGCACAGCCTGGGAACAGGAGGCTGCAGGAGCAGCGGAATCAAGGGCAGCGTTTAACCCCATCACCCCTTGTCCTACCGCTACAGTCCCTCTCCAGCACCCAAGGTCCTCACCCTTCAGGTCTGTCAGCGTCTCCCCCAGCTGCTTGAGCACCACTGCCTTCTCCTCCAGCTCCTGCACAGGGACGAGCCGATGGTTGTGGGTCAAATCCTTCTGGATCTTCTCCACTGACTTCTCCAGGTCACTGTGAGCACACGGACAGGGCAGGGGTGTCACTGCTGCACGGGGATGCTGCAGAGCCCCGCGGGTGGCCACAGGAGGGAGAACAAGTGGGCTGGGGACATGCTAGACATGCAGTCAAGGATGTGGCCTGGATCTGGCAGAGGTGCTGCTTTCCACCCACGGAGGTCAACGCACAAGGACCCTCTACCCACTTGCACACCCAGCCTCGGCTCACTTGAGCTGCTGGGTGATGAGCTCCTCCTCGTTGAGGTAGCGGAGCCGCTCCTCTTCCACCAAGCTGCGCTGGCGCTGCAGCGGGTCCTCGTGCTTGCGCATGGTGTCCGTCACCCGCACGCTGATCTCCGTCTCCGTCCGCCGCAGCATCGTCTTCACCATCTCCTGGTTCTGCAGCTGCAGGGACCAGGATCGGAGGCTCAGAGAAAGGTTTTGGGTTGGAAGGGAGCTTAAAGCTCACCCAGCTCCAAGCCCTGCCATGGGCAGGGTCCCCTTCCACTAGAGCAGCTTGCTCCAAGCCCCATCCAACCCGGCCTTGAACACTGCCAGGGATGGGGCATTTACCACTTCTTTGGCCAACCTGCTCCAGTGCCCCATCACCCTCACAGCAGCCATGGGAGGTTCAACGTGCGGAGGGATCCCCTCACTCCCCCACACCCAGCCCCATGCAAAAAGGAAAGGGGGATTTTCCTGCTCTGGATCTGGAGCCACCCCAACGAGAGCCCCCAAACACCCACCTGCAGCTTCTTGAGCTGCTGGAGCTGGTTGCGGAGGTCGCTGGCGTTCTGCTGCAGGTCGTGGAGGTGCAGCTGCATGTGCAAGCGGGTGATGGCCGTGGGCTGCCCCGCTGGGGTGCTGCTGGCGGAGGGCGGCGGTGGTGCGGGCACCGGTGTCCCCATGCTGCTGCGGCTGGTGGCTGTGGGGAGGGCAAGCGGAGGGTGCTGAGCGCAGATATCCCAGCCTGGAGGAGGCTGCAGGCTCCGGCCCCTTTGCTTTCCCAGGAAAGACCTTTCTTTCCCAACCCATGCTCCAAAATAACCCCATCCACAGCACCACCATGCTGGATCCACCCCGGAGATGCTCCGTAGTGGGACATGGGGTTGCCAGCGCATGGTGGGGGCTGCAGACCCCCCGCTCCTGTGCCCACCCCAGGACTCCCGACAGCCATGGGGCTGGCTCCCCAGTTACTTACACGCTGATGGGGGGGTCCCACCATTGGTGGCTTCTGTCTTCTCACTGCAACGAAAAAGAGGAGGGAAGCAAGCATGGACCAAGCACCTCCATCCTCACCGGCTCAGCGGTGGCCACAGGGGCACGGGGGTGGGGGGGGGGGGGGGGCTGGTGTCCCATGGAAGCAAACAGCATCCCCCTCCCCACACCAGACCCCGGGGTCCAACTCCTTACCTGGGGGTCTCAGCCTCGGAGCCGCGGAGCAGCGCGCTCTGCACCAGCCCCGTCAGGCTGGCGATCTGCTTCTCCATCGCCTCCATCCGCTCTCTGCCGTGGGGAAGGGAGAGGGGCTGGGTGAGGAGGTGGCTTGGGCACCGTGGACACCCTCAGCCTTGTCCTGTCTCCCACCCCCTGGGTCCCTGCGTGGCCCAGGAGGGACACAGGGGTGGCAGCAGCGCTGCTGTCACAGCTCCATCATCCCCTTCACTCCTTCGTGCCTCCAGTGAGCCCCGATTCAGTGCTTCATCTCCCATCCCATCACCACAGGGCAAAGCCTTCCTCTGCTCTTCCTCTCCATCCCCAGCCGCACTGACAACCTCCAGCGCATCAAAACTCATTCCAAATCCCACCTCACCTTGTTTCCGTGTCTTTAGCTGGTCCAGGGGAGCCAAACCCCGAGAGCGGGCGATCCCCAGGGCCAGGAAAGAGCTCCGGAGGGCCGGAGGAGCTGGGGTTACGCGGCTTGTTCACAGGGCTCTCCATGAAGACGGAGGAGCAGGAATCCTTGCGGAAGGACTGGCGCACAGGAGAGGAGCGGCTGGGGGGTCCCGAGTAGGGGCTGTGCGGGCTCTGCCCCGGCTGCACGTCCACCAGCCGCCCATCAGCCATCTTCTGCGGGGAGGATGGAGGCATCCGGAAACCCAGACCGGGGCCGTACGTGTCGCCGTACATGGGGGCATTGGGCTTGTAGAGGTTGTCCTCCAGCTCCGTCTGCAGGGCGGCCGCCGAGTAGGTGCTGAGGGAGCGCACGGAGCCGCGCTTGTACAGCCCCCCCGAGTAGCCAAAAGGGTCTCCCATGCCAGCCAAGGACTGCGTGGAGGTGATGCTGAGCCGGCCCTCGTGCACCATGCCGTAGGGATCGGCGTAGAGCCCCTCGTTCTTCATCAGCACCACGTTCTTCCCGGCTAAGTCCTCATCCGGTTTCACATCCCGGCGCTCCAGGATGGCGCTGGGGCTGGGCGAGACGCCCTGCGCCGGTGGCAGGTTGGAGAGGCGCTCGCTGTGATGGACGGGGCTGCCGGCGTAGGAGGGCGGGCGCCCGCCGCTGTAGGACATGCGGGAGCGGGATGGTGACGAGGACTGGAGCACCGGTGGAGGGGAGCCCGAGGCGAGGTGGGAAGCCGGGGACATGTTGTTGAGCCGGCGGGTGGGAGAGGACTCCCTGGATGTGTACACCATCTCCCGCTGCGGAAAGGGGCAAGGGGAGGGGGGGTCAGCACCTGCAGAGCAGCTCCCTGCCCTCCATCCACTCAGCTGCATCCCCGAGAGCTGCAGCTCCTGCGCCTTCACCTGCCGGCATCATCCTTATTCCCATCCATCAGGATGATTTACTCTGATGAACCCCCTAATTATCATGTTTATTACCCTGCTGTCAGGCCCCAAACATCCATTCTCTTAAAGCAACACTTCACAATGCTGGAACCGGGCAAGATGGATCGTAGTCATCACCCCTTCCACAAACACAAGCAATTGCCAAGTCCCTATCTCCATCGCTTTCCCTCTTTACTGGTTCCAGCCCACTGAATGCACCCACCCTGTGACAACTGTTCCCCCCCTTACCCTCAAGTCACCATTGGTGATGTGTGAGGCTGGGAATGAAGCGTAGAGAGGCTCCTTCCGATAGATCTTGATGATACTTCTGTCCTGGATGTCCCTGGAAGGAGAGGCAGAGCCATCAGCATCCCAGACAGGCAGCCACCGAGCCAGTCCCAGACACAGGATTGCACCCACACCCACCCTTCTGCTTCCACCCCACTGATTTCCTTGCTTGGGATGACCTTAAAGAAAGGAGCAATCAATCTGTGGTGGATTTCTGAGCCCCCCTCCCCTCTCACCGGACATCCTCCAGCTCATAGAAGACATTGCGCGACTCGTCCTTGATGAGGATGGCCGTGTTGGGAGACTTCAGCATCCCCATGGTGAGCTTCTGGGGGAACATGTGGACAATGAGGGCGTGCAGGGTGTCCATGCTGCTGATCTCGTGGGTGATGTGGACGCGCCTCGTCTCGTCCCCAAACTGCAGGAAAAGGACCCCTGGAAGCAGAGGGAGCAGGAAGCGGTCAGGCGCTCGCATCCCTTCTCCATGCAACACAGGTTTGCCCACTGGTCACCCAGCCTCATCCTCAAGCAGTGAGGCCGAAGGCAGCTCATCCCCCTTGGCCACCCTACACTGCCCCCACCTCCATCCGGGGTTATTTAGGCAGACACAAACCAATCCCAAGCCAATCCCACAGAAGGCACATGCAGGCATCGTGCAGGCAGGGATGGTTGCTGGTGGTGGATGTCTTGGGGCCAGGCACAGCCACGGCCCTGATGGTACCTGGGGATCGCAGCTTCGTCTGGCTGGTGGAGCGGGACAAGGGCAAGCTCTGCCGGAACCGGTTCATCCTGTTGAACCCCAGGGGCAGCTCCGCTTCCGACATGGTTTCCAGGGATTCGGCCGAGGCGAAGGAGAGTTTGGCTTGATCGGCCAAGCCAGGCTGGGAGCCCTGGGAGTGCCGGGAGCTCCTTGTCTGCAAGAGGAGAGGTCAGAGGAGAGCTGGGCTGGGTACCCCAGCCCGGGGCTGAGCTCCCCTGGATGCTCGCAGTGATGGAGATGCAGGGATGCTCATTCCTGGCTCTCCAGCTGAGTCAGCACACTGCTGTGGTCCAGACACAGCGCCAGCTCCAGGCCCCCTCCATCTCTAAGCATCTATAACTATTCACAGCCCTCTTGCCTCCTGCAATTGCTCACTCCCGTTTTCCTCTCCGTGCTGTACTTCAAAGCCTCCCAGTGCCATTCCAGGCACCTTTGAGTTCCCCCACCAGTGACCCAGTGGAAATAAAACCAGTGCTAGCTAGCTGGTGGCGACAGAGCCAGGCTCGCATGCGAGCGCTGGGATAACCTTAGCAATTACAGGAGGTTACACATCCATTACACCAACGAACCAGCTCCCGGGACACATAAATGCCTGGCTTATTCTGGAAGCAAAGCAGCAGCAAGGTTTATGGCTTCCTGCGCCGGGGGAAGGTAATGGATGTGGGGTTTGAGCACTAAAGATTTCACATGCCACGCGTCCATGGCCAAGGGTACATCCAACAGCATAGCAAGTTCAGGCTCCGCGCACTGGGTTCCTGCACCACCACCTCCAAACACACAGGGAGGTGCCCGTGGATCCCTCCCCATAAGAAGCTGGATTTTCCCAGACACTGTCTTTAATGCTGCCAAATCAAAGGCAGGGAGAACAAGCAGCTCCCGGGGGGTGGGAAAGGCAGCGTGGAAGGGCTCTATTTTAAGACCGAAAAGAAGCAGCCCTAGGAAATGATAACAGGCATCATCCTCCTCCTTTAAATTAGACATTAATGGGGGGGTGTTAATTAATCTGGCAGGGCGGGGTTTCCAATGGCTTGAAATGTGCTTGCTGCATGCAGCTAATTGCTGGAAAATCGAGGGCTTTAGTCCTGTTGTTGCTCCAGCACAAAGCACGTTGACAGCGCTGAGGCTTAACGGCTTACGTCGAGAAAGGGAAGTGGGGCTGGATCAGCCCCATCCGTGGGTGAGGAGGCTGCGGTGAGCAGGAGGTGATGGAGAGACCCGCTCTCCTCTAACCCAGGTCTTTGGGGCAAAGCATCTGGATTTGGGGGGGGTCTCCATCCTTCCCTGGGGAACCTGGAGGGCTTTTGGTTCCCCACCTCCATCTGCGCTGGGTTGGGTTTATGGTGCTGCTCCCTGATGCAGGATGGATCTATGGCCGCAGGGATGGATCAGGAAGTACATGGCCAGGATGTGACCCATGCAGCCCTTTTCTCTCTGCTCCTTCCCCTGCTCCATGCCTTCACCCTGCTCCATCTCCATCCATCCCTCCCTGCTCCCACCACCCACACCCCCCCGCCAACCAGAGCCCACACCTCAACCGGGCTTTAAAACCTGTTGGGCTTTCACACCAGATGACAAAAGCCCTTACACCCCTATAGACAACACCCCAATGCACCACAGTCCCTATAGCACAACCTCCCAATGTACCAGCGTGCCTACAGCCCCTACAGCACGGCAACCCAGACACATCATGGTCCCTACAGCCCCTATAAACAACACCCCACCACACCATGGTCTCTACAGTGCAACACCCCAATGCACCACAGTCCCTATAGCACAACACCCCAATCTACCAGCGTGCCTACAGCCCGTACAGCACTACAGCCCCGACACATCATGGTCCCTACATCCCCTATAGCACAACACCCCAATGTACCAGCATGCCTACAGCCCGTACAGCACAACAGCCCTGACACATCATGGTCCCTACATCCCTTATAGCACAACATCCCAATGTACCAGCATGCCTACAGCCCCAGACACATCATGGTCCCTACAGCCCCTATAGCATAACACCCCACCACACCAGTGACCATATAGCACAACACGTGTCTGTGGGGCACGGGACCCCTAGGTACCTCCAGCCAAGGCAGGATGCTGGAAAGGGCAGACATATGGGGGGGGGGGGGGGGGGGGGGTGTCTCTGCCATTCCTTGCCTGTGGCTCTTTTGGCCACCCCAGCTTTGCTGTGGGACCTGGGTGCCCCCAACATCCCTGCAGCAGCAGCAGGGAGCTGCGGTGCCCTGTCCTTGGCCTCCAGCAGACCATAATGAGCTGACTGCAAGGGAATTGGGTTTTATTGCTCTGCCTCGCTAATGGCTTTTCCTCCTAGGAGATAATAACCTGGCAGCTCAGCCCCACACATCCTGCCTGTGCCCATGCTGAGGTGCCCCCCCCCCCCCCCCATAGGCACCCTTCATCCCCTCCTGGACAAGGGGAGACCTGACCACAGCCAGCAAGGCTGTGGCTCATCCCAATGGTGTCAGAACCTTCATCCATCCCCGTGGAGTTTAAACAGGGTCCTCGGTTCATGGAGATGCTTTTGTGGGGGCCCAGTCCTGCCTTGCTGGGTCTGGACCTGCTTGTGCCAGTGCCTGCACTGATGGGAGGGATGCATGGGCTGAGCTTTCAACCTGATGCAGGATGGATTTGCATCAGGGACTGCAGTGACAGGACAAGGGGTGATGGGTCTAGAGGCAGGGACCCCTTCCACTGGAGCAGCTTGCTCCAAGCCCCTGTGTCCAACCTGGCCTTGAGCACTGCCAGGGATGGGGCAGCCACAGCTTCTCTGGGCACCCTGTGCCAGCGCCTCAACACCCTCCCAGGGAAGAGCTTCTGCCTAAGAGCTCATCTCAGTCTGCCCTCGGGCAGGTTCAAGCCATTCCCCTTGGCCTGATGGCTTCAAGCCACCCCCAGGGATGCCTGCAGCGTGGGAAGCAGCGGCTTCATGGGCAGAGCACAACGGGAAGGAGCGAAGCAGCTGCCCAAAAGCAAAACAAAAACCTCCCAAGGCCGTGGGCAGCTCCTCCCATGGCACCAAGGGCAGGAAAGGCCTTGGGAGGGCAGCGCTGCGGTGATGGGCACCAAGGCCAGGGGGTCTGCAGCCTACCCCGGGGAAGAAAGCTGCTTGGGACCTGCCAGGGAGCGGTTTAAAGCCCCTGGTTTAAAGCAGGGGGAACCTCAGCAGCAGCTTTGAGTGATTCTCCCAGTGAAAACCCACTCACAGAGCACCCACATCCTCCCTGGACTCCTCCTGGGAAGCAGTGGCAACATCCCCCCCCTCCAGTGCTGTTGGCAACAGGAGCATCCCCAGCACCCCCACACCTCCATGGGAGCCTTAAAGGAAAGAGATGGGATGGAGAATGGAAAGAGACATGGGGGCTTTTGTCTTTTATCTCCCCAGAGCTAAAAGCAAGCTACAATTAACCAGTCCTTTCAGCTCCTAAAACCCCCACCAATCCCTTTCCTGTCAGCGCAGAAGCAGCTTCATTCTATCCGCCTGGCAAGGTAAGGATGCTTCTCTCCTCCTTCTCTCCTCTCCCTTCTTCTTGCCCTCATCCCTCCCTCCCATCCTCCATACCCCTCTCCAATATAACCCTCCCCAGCTTCAAGGGCTGAATGCTCAGAGGGAAGGACCCAAGGTGCTTCCTTGGTGAGGAATGGGGACATCCCTCTGGACCCAGCAGTGATGGGCACCGCAGTGATCATCAAACTCAAAGCCCCCGGAGCTCATTCGTCTTCCCACTCACTTCCTAAGACCCTGGAGATGGAGGGTCTGTCCCAGTGGATGCAGCGGAGCCTCCACCAGCACCTCAGGCTCCGAGGGCTGTGCTCCGACCCCTCTGCCCATCACACACCGTGCTCAGCAAGCCCCGGTGCTGGGGGTGTTTCAGCCATGGTAAGGACCTTACCTGCAACAAGGAGACCCCCCTGGGTATTAGAAAGGGGGTCCCCAAGCACCCTGATGAGATGTGCACAGGGGACACAGCTCCACTGCCCTCAACCTAGCACCCAGCCCAGCTCATCCCGAGCTCTGCACCCTGTCCTGGCACAGGAATCAGCCCTTCTCCCCCCAGCACCCAGCCCAAACAGCCCCCAAGCACCGATACAGACCTGTGCTCACAGCTGGGATGGATAAGCTCTCGCTGTGATAATGCCATAGGCTGTTACCTGCCCGGGCTGTGCTGGGCACTGCTGGGACTGGTGGCAGCTCCAGGTCCCTCCCAGCTCATGCTCCATCGTGTCCCGTTGGCAAGGATGATGGACCAGAGCGCATCCGGCTGGCTGAGCATCGTCCTTGCATGGGTGGGTGGGTGGATGGATGGAGCCCTGCGAAGGTCCTGCAGCACTGGGTGCTGCTGCCTGTTTGCATCTCCTCTGCCAAGCCACATGATGGGGATAAAGGGAAGAGCTCCCTCAAATCCACTCTGGCCAGCTTGGGAAAACAGCTGGCACGGAGCTGGGAAAGCCAGCCCTGGGCAAAGCAATGCAACCGGTTATTTACCAAGTGCATAAAGCCCCGGCTCCAGCTCCTGGTTGGACACAGATCTGGATTAATTCCTCATAATCCCCCCCTCTCACCATTTAATCCAGCCTCTGACTACAGATCCCATCTGGTGGCTTGCTGAGCTCTCGAGATGGAGCTCAGCATCCCCATGGTCTGGGCTGTGCTGGGGATGAGGAGACACCCCCAGCCTCCAGCAGCTATGCTGGGAGCAGGGAAGGGTGTTCTGGGAGTCACCCCAGGCTCTTGCTGTGGGGCCAGGGTGAGCTACTGCTCCTTTCTGTGCCATCTCCATAGCATTCCTTGGAGCTGGCATTGGGAAGAGCCATGAGAGAGGGTAACAGGACCCTGGGGTCCCACCTGATGCTTCTTGGACCTTTGCTCTCCATCGCTCTTCTCCATCTCCCTATCTCTAAAATTAATATAAATATATATAACACATGATAAAGAGATCTGCTTTTCTAAGCCATTACCTGCATCCCTACCCCTGCCTGCTGGGCTTCAAGGCCTCCTGCCTTGAATTCCCAGACTCTGGCACACTGGAGCTAGTGGGGCCCATCCCTCCTGGCAGCTCCCAGCCCACGCCATTCCCTGGATAAATATATCTCAGAAACAAAGGGATAGGGAAAAAAACAGTGGATGTGATCCCTTGG